CAAACGGAAACTTTGCGTAATCACAAGCATTGGGAATCCGAGGTCACTTGTAGCAACCTCAGCCGTACACTGTAAGTTGTTCACGGCCGTCATTAAAATCAATAAAGGAAGGGTTCAACACGCGACTCTCCCTGGTAGCAACCAATAAGCCTTCCGGTCCACGCTCAGCAATAACATAAGTCGGGGTAACATAATAAGTCCCCGCGAACACTGGCTCTCCAGCCCACTCAGTCTGAGGCTGTCTTGTAAGATCTCGACAATAATAGCCCCACATGGCTCCCAAAGAGAGAAGTCGAGGCATCCACATAAGTCCTTGTTCCTTCCTCACCACATTAACAGGGATAATAGCCCCACGCGGCTCCCAAAGAGAGAAGTCGAGGCATCCACATAAGTCCTTGTTCCTTCCTCACCATATTAACATGGATAATAGCCCCACGCGGCTCCCAAAGAGAGAAGTCGAGGCATCCACATAAGTCCTTGTTCCTTTCTCACCACATTAACAGGAATAATAGCCCCACGCGGCTCCCAAAGAGAGAAGTCGAGGCATCTACATAAGTCCTTGTTCCTTCCTCACCAAACTAGCTGGGATAGTTGATAGGCTCGTTCCGTTCCTGTCTTTTCACCCATATTTTGGGTGTTAATTGTCTATTTTTTATAATTAATCGGATGACTATTGGGAGTTTTGAATGAAAGTTTGTAATTTTTTGGTCCCGGTGCCATTCATTTTCAGTTTAGTATTTGTCTGCACAATTTGACATTTTTGGAGTAATTTGATTGTAAAATTGCATACTTTTAGCGGGTGCGGTGAGTTGTGATTGTACAGGCCGAATTTGCGGTGAATCTAAGAAAAACAATTTGGCATCTCAGCCCAACAAAAAGAAAACAAAAGTGGAGCAGTTTGCATATTTCACTAGCAGCCCAAAAACCAAAGAGGAGGGCTGGGTTTTTTATTTTCCTCCAGAAAATTAGCAGCGGCACCAACATATTTTCCTGCCAGGAAGAATCAGCCGCAGGACCAAGAAGGAACGGACCTTTTCACTAGCAGCAATTTCCTTTTTTCTTTTCTCGTAGAGTAAGCACCCGCATTTTTATTTCTTCCCTGGAGAATCAACCGTAGCGGCAGCGATTTTTCCTTCTCTTCATTCAGCCGCAGCAGCAACTAGATGATAGCAACAGATTTTTCATTCTCTTGTCTCGGAATAGCCGTAGCAGCAACAACCAGAGGACAACCAAGGCTTCAAAACTTCATTTTTATTCAATTTCTTCCAATCTAATTTAGATTTTCAGCAAGTATTGTAAGTTTACTCGTCATTTTCAGCACTAGTTCTTAATTTTGGATTGAATTTCGAATTTGTTTGTCTCCGATAGTTAACCTCAGTTTTTTCTTCTTCTAGCTCCTTATCATTCTTATCAATATTATTCATGTTAATTATAATTATGAGTAGCTAATTCCATATAGGGTTTGAATTGGGGCTAGGGTTTATGGGTTCGTGAAGGTGTGAATTTAGTTTTTGAAATTCAATTAATTTTCTGGAAAATTGTATAAGATTACTCTTATTTGTCTATATGAATTTGATCACCTCATATATGAATATTTGGATTTAATTCAATTCTTGTCTATGAGAAATTGAGTTAAATTGGCTCAGATTTTATACAAGCAATCTGATCTTAGAAATAAGCTAGGATTGTGATAATTTGATTTAATTCTTGTCGATGAGAATATATTTCATTTTCTTTCCAGGAATAATTGAAAATTAATTTACTTAATTCTGATCCGGAAAGAACACCCAGAACCCGAACCATCCAATTTGAACCCTGTTTTAATATCTAGAATCAATTTACTTATTTTCCTTTTTCTATTTTTGCACTCGCGGTTAGTTTCTTTTGTATTTTTTTTTCACCAACCAAAAATAATTATTTCAGAAAGATTACCATGACTTGTGCTAGCCTGTGATTACGGATCGTATTTAAAACTTCCCTTTTGCCACTCCTTGAGAGACGATACTCGTTGTCTGGTTATTCTTCGGATTAGCCAACTACGTTTCACTCACAAAAAAATTACACCGATCAAATGGCGCCGTTGCCGGGGAGTGGCATGGTTGTTTGTTAAGTACTTTCTGTGGAATAGGTAAAAGTAAGTCGGTGAGACTTTCTATTTCTTTTCTGTTATTTGTTTTTGTTTTTGGTGTTCTTTGCACGTGAACTAAGCTGCAGGAACCAGTGCATGCACACTCGCTCCTTGGGGGAACAAGATTTAATTGCAGGTTATTCGGATCCTGAACGCTTATTCCGAGGAAGAGCTAAAAGGCGGTTGCTAGAAGACTTGAACAAAATGGCCGATGAGACAACTCTGGAGAAGTTGACGCCTAACTATGTGGCGAGAAATAGCATTGGTGCACCCACCATTGAGGCCAACAATTTTGAAATCAAGCCGGCCATGATGCAGATGCTTGCTAATAATCCATTCTGCGGATACACCCATGAAGATCCAATGGAACATATTGAGAGCTTTATTCAGACATGTGCCACATTCAAATACAATGGGGTATCCAGCGAGGCGGTGAGGTTGACCTTATTTCCATTCTCGTTGAGAGACAAGGCATCACGGTGGCTCCGTAGCTTTCCAAACGGGCATTTTGATACATGGGAGAAGCTTCATCAGGCATTTATGCAGGAGTACTTTCCTCCCTCTGCCGCTATCAAAGTTCAGACAGAAATTCTCAATTTCACTCAAACTCCGACCGAGACATTCAGTGAAGCATGGGATAGGCTGAAGACGCTAAGAAGGAAGTGTCCAGAAACATTCATGAATTCAGCAACCATTATGTGCAGATTTTATAATGGTCTTCGGCTGGAGTATATGAGAGAACTAGACCGGGCATCTCAGGGGGGTATGTTTCTAAAATTGTCCCCAGAGGCAGAAGAGCAGATAATAGAGAATTTGGCTTCAAATGATAAATATTGGTACGCGGGCAAGGAGAGAGCTCAAAATCCACCTAGTCTGCTCAATTTAGATCCCATCACTGCACTCACAGCGAAGATCGAGGGACTGGCAGTGGATGTCAAAGACTTGAAGGCACAGACCTCTCAGCAGCAACATGTCCACAATATTGGGGCATATCAGCCCTCTTATCCTATGTATTCTGCCCCACTTCCTGTTCGAGCAAGTTATCCAAGTCCAACTGGCCAAGAACTAGCTTTATCTTGCGAAATGTGCATGGGAGCTCACCTCACTCACACTTGTCCTCTTTATGTTCAGAATCAGGCAACTCCAGTGGTCCGTGATGTGAATTTCATGGAATACGGTCAAGGCCAGAGAGCTGGTGGGCAGTTTTTCAACAATCAAGTTCAGAGAGGAAATTTTCAGCAGGGAGCAGGCTCGTGGAGACCTGAAAATCAGAATCAGGGGCAGCGGAATGCTCCCAATTACCAAGCAAATTTTCAGAATAGAGGCAATCCAAATCAGCCCACTTATGTCCCGCCTCACCAAAGACAGCTTGAACCACCTCTGATAAATGCAGCGCTAGAGAAAATAGTGGCTGAATTAGCCAAAAATCAAGCGGAGATGCACCAGCGTTTCAGCAACCTAGAAGCTCTTATCCGCCAGCTTGGTTCAGTTGCTCCTAGAGAACCAGGCAGCCTTCCGAGTTCAACAGAACCCAATCCAAGGGAGCAAGTGCAGGTCGTTACACTACGCAGCGGGAAGACCCTTACAGATGTTAATACTCCACCATTGCCTCAACAAAATGATGACCAACGACATCAAGACCCGAAATCCCAGGAGGTTGAAGAAGAACCAGTGGCTGTATCTATTCCTTCCAGGAGTAATGAAGCTCAGAAAGAAGATTCTCTGAAGAAAGAGAAGAGTAAGACGACTCCACCCCTCCCGTTCCCTACACGGGTGAAGAGAAGCAATGATAACACAAACCTGATTAGATTCATGGAGCATCTGAAGCAGCTTCATATCAATATGCCATTCGTGGAAGCTCTAACAGAGATGCCGAGGTACGCGAAGTTTCTGAAGGACCTCCTCACGAAAAAGAGGAGGTGGGAAGAGCCAGAAGTGGTGGATCTTAATGCAGAATGTTCAGCGGTTGTTTTGAAGACCATGCCACCGAAGCTAAAAGACCCAGGGAGTTTTCTTGTACCTTGTTCTATCGAAAATTTTATGTTTAATAATGCTTTAGCTGATTTAGGAGCTAGCATCAACCTGATGCCTTCCTCTGTGGTTATGAAACTTGGCTTGGGTGAACTTAAGCCCACTCGTATGAGCCTCCAGCTAGCGGACCGATCGGTGAAACACCCGAAAGGAATTCTAGAGGATGTATTAGTACGGGTGGACAAGTTCATATTCCCTGTTGATTTTGTGGTCATGGACATGGAGGAAGATCGTGAGACTCCACTTATTTTAGGGAGGCCCTTTCTTGCTACTGCTAGGGCACTTATTGATGTTGCTGATGGTTCACTTTCTCTGAGAGTTGGGGACGATGTGTGTACTTTTAAACTCTCAGATGTGATGAGTAAGGCCTCAAACCCCACTGAATCATGCAATTATCTTGATATGTTTGAGTCAGTGGAGGGTTATTTATTTCGAGGTGATAGTGATATTACCCCGCCAGAGGGTGACATTCGTTATATGGGGGATGTAGTGGCTGAAAATGAAGAAGACATGACTATTGATTGCGAGCAGGTGATTAACAATGACGTTTTCCCTACGTTGCTTACTGAGTTTGAGGAGCACATTACCGATAAGGTTACTCCTGAACTCAAACCGCTCCCTAGTCACCTGGAGTATGCATTTTTAGACACACATGGCCAACACCCTGTCATTATTTCAGCCCAGTTAGAGTCGGGACAGAAGGAAAAATTGATGGATGTCCTTAGGTGTCACAAGCAAGTCATTGCGCATAAGCTTGAGGATCTTCGTGGGATTAGCCCAACCTTCTGTACCCACAAAATCAAGTGTGAGGAGGGGTATAAACCAGTCGTGCAACCGCAATGACGTTTAAACCCCAAGATGATGGAAGTGGTAAAGGCAGAAGTCCTGAGGCTTTTGGATGTGGGTATAATTTACCCAATTTCAGATAGCCAATGGGTTAGCCCTACTCACGTGGTCCCCAAGAAGGGGGGTATGACGGTGATTCAGAATGAGAAGGGGGAACTCCTACCTAGTAGGACGGTGACCGGGTGGCGGATGGTCGTTGATTACCGTAAACTAAATGAAGCCACTCGGAAGGATCATTTCCCCTTACCTTTTATTGATCAGTTGATTGAGAGTTTGGCAGGGCATGCTTATTATTGTTTCCTTGACGGGATGAGCGGGTACTTTCAAATACACGTTGATCCCGTTGACCAGGAAAAGACCACTTTTACTTGCCCATTTGGGACATTTGCATTTCGTAGGATGTCTTTTGGTCTATGCAATGCCCCTGCCACATTTATGCGTTGCATGATTGCTATATTTGAGAAGTTTATTGGTGATTTTATGGAGGTTTTTATGGATGACTTCTCTATTTTTGGGGAGTCATTTGATGAATGCCTCCATAATTTAGAGAAAGTGTTGATTAGGTGTGAGGAGACCCACTTGGCCTTGAGTTGGGAAAAGTGTCACTTCATGGTCAAGGAGGGTATTGTGCTAGGTCATAAGGTGTCATTTAAGGGTATTGAGGTTGACAAGGCAAAAATTGAGGCCATTGAGAAACTCCCGCCTCCAACGACTGTAAAGGCTGTCCGTAGCTTTCTTGGGCACGCCGGCTTCTACCGTCGCTTTATTCGGGATTTCTCAAAAATAGCCAAACCTCTCACCCGTTTGCTTGAGAAAGATGCTGATTTTTTGTTTGATGATGAATGTTTGCTTGCTTTTAAGTGTTTGAAACTTAAGTTGACGGAAGCTCCAGTTTTAGTTGCTCCATATTGGGAAATCTCTTTTGAGCTAATGTGCGATGCTAGCGATCAGGTGGTCGGGGCCATTCTTGGACAACGGAAAGATAATCACTTCCGCCCCCTCTATTACGCTAGCAAAACCTTAGCGGGACCCCAATTGAATTATACCACAACAGAGAAAGAGCTTCTAGCTATTGTGTATGCTTTGGAGAAGTTTAGGTCGTATATTATTTTATCTGAAGTAATTATCTACACCGATCATTCAGCGTTGAGATATTTATTTCAGAAGCACGATTCTAAACCTAGACTTCTCCGTTGGATTTTGTTGTTGCAGGAATTTAACATAGAGATTAGGGACCGGAGGGGTTCCGCCAATCAAGCAGCTGATCACTTATCACGATTAGATGCTGACTTGGTAGACTCTTTCGGTAATGATGTTATTGAAGAACTTTTTCCTGATGAACGTCTTTTGCAGGTTGAGATTGGATCTGAGGTACCCTGGTATGCAGACATAGCCAACTACTTAGTAGGCGATGTTGAGCCTACCGGGCTATCTCGACACATGTTAAAAAAGTTTTTGTCCGATGCTAAGTATTATTTCTGGGATGATCCTTATTTGTTCAGGATTTGTGCTGACCAGGTAGTACGAAGGTGCATTCCTGAGGATGAAATGAATGAGATTCTTTACCATTGTCATGCTGGCCCCACCGGGGGGCATTTTTCTGGTAATAGGACGGCAAGAAGAGTGTTAGAGTGTGGGTATTACTGGCTCACATTGTTCAAAGATGCAAATTCTTATGTTGCCTCATGCGATAGGTGTCAACGGGTAGGAAATATTTCTAAACGAGATGAGATGCCCCAGACATATCTATTGCCTTGTGAAATTTTTGATGTCTGGGGGATTGATTTTGTAGGCCCATTCCCTAGCTCAAGAGGCAATAAATTTATTTTAGTCGCTATTGATTATGTGTCGAAGTGGGTAGAGGCTATTGCGAGCCCTACTAATGATGCTAGAGTGGTTGTGCGTTTTGTAAAAAAATTGTTTTCTAGGTTTGGAGTCCCCAAAGTTTTGATTAGTGATTGAGGAACCCATTTTCGTAATGATCCGCTAGCTCGTGTTTTGTCTAAATATGGGGTTCAACATCGGCAAGGAGTAGCCTACCACCCCCAAACTCAGGGGCAAGTAGAGAATGCAAATCGGGATCTTAAGGCTATCCTAGAAAAAACTGTAGCGCAAACTCATAAGGATTGGTCAGAAAAACTAGATGATGCGCTATGGGCTTTTAGGACAGCTTATAAGACTCCGATTGGTACTACTCCTTTTCGATTAGTTTATGGGAAGTCTTGTCATTTACCTGTGGAGGTAGAGCATAGGGCACTCTGGGCTTTAAGGACTGTTTGTCTTGATTCATCTAGTGCAGGTAAGGAGCGGTTCTTTCAGCTGAATGAATTGGATGAGTGGAGGGCTCAGGCCTTTCATAATTCATACTTATACAAAGAGAGAGTAAAGCAGGCTCATGACAAGCACATTAAGGCGGACCGCCAGTTCGCGGAGGGGGAGAAGGTGTTGTTGTATAATTCAAGGTTGAAACTTTTTCCTGGGAAGCTGAAGTCCCGATGGACGGGACCATACACTGTACGTGGAGTGTATCCCTATGGAAGTGTGGAGATTGAGCATAATGACGGCCGGGTTGTCAAAGTCAACGGCAACCAACTCAAGCACTATTTTGGGGGAATGTTTGAAAAGCAGAAGGAGGTTTTAAGCCTCCAGCCCGTCTTTGAATGAGATTTTATCGTCAAGCTAGTGACGTTAAAGAAGCGCTTTTGGGAGGCAACTCCCCAAAAAAAAAAAACAAATAAATAAATAAAAAACAAAAAAAAAAAGAATTAGGAGTTTAGTATTTCTTGTTTATGCATTTTTTTCCCTTTTGTTTTTGGTGTTTTCATCTCGGAGTTGTGCGGTTGGATTTCTTTGCCTTGAATTGCAGGTGTGACATGGGAGTTCATGAAATGATTTTGGAAGAATTGCAGCCCTATGTAGATGAGGTTACCCAGGGCTACACACTGTAGTTCCTTCACAGCAGACCCGGGGGCGATATGAGGGATGGTCGGAACTTCAAGCAATTGCAGGGTTAATGGTTGGAGACCTACACATGCTCAAGAAGGTGGGATCTCTGGATAGGAACTTGGTACCCGCAGAGGGAGAGATTGACCAGCTGTTGCGAGATTCGGGACGGCATCACATGCTGATTTTTGAGGGCCGAACCAGCTGCCCGTTGACACCACCAGGCCTGCTTGACGCATTCTCCATTTCTTCATAGGAAATAACCTTCATAGCAGCGTATAAATTGCGAGCAAGTTCACCGAACAGCAGTCTGCACTTCAAATTGGGCCTTAGTTCACCACACTTTGGACAAACTGTCCAGTCTCAGTATTATTGCAGCATTCCAGTGGCAGAATTCAGCAGCTTCTACACATCTAGGACCGAATATCTTGCAGATCATGGTTCTAAGACCGAATATCTCACCACCAGAGACCGAGGGGCTAACAGATGCTGAGTTTTATGTTAATCCGGAAGTTATTCACCACAGTTTGGCTTATACGGTAATCTGTCAACTCTAACTACGCTGCTGAAAATGTGTGCTTACTATCATATTACTCCTTTGTTGATTTGTGTTGATTATTATTCTGATTATGATGTGTTGCCGGGCTAAAAATCATTTTACTCGTTAATTTGTCCCTGTTATTTTTGTTTTAATCTTTTCTTTGATCTCGAGGGCGATGTCACCCCTAAGTGTGGGGAGGTTTGGTTGTAGTTCGGACAGGACATTTGTTGATGAAGTTATTCTTCCCAACAACATTTTGAGGTGTATGAGTTCTTTTCTGGTTTAGCAACGCAACCGAGGTAGCTTGTTAATCTTTATTTTCTTTTGTAATCTTCCATTTCCTCCATCTTTCTTGGAAAGAATTAGTAATGGTGTAATCATCGGGGTGGTGTGTATATTCTTGGGAATGTTGGCATGTTAGATGGTTTGATTTGTGGTGATAAAATTCGGTTTTACTCGTGATTCACTAGTTCGTCATCAATAATTGCATGACTGGTCAGGTGTTGAAAATCCTTACTCCATTAGGAGCTCTGCTTTCTAAGCATATCGGGATAATTTCATGCTAAGCGGGAAACTGGTTCTTGTTATGGGGTTACACTTCGTGTGTCGAGAATTTCATCTCCGAAAAGGGGCTCTGCTCATCTCGCGAATCACCCCGTGTGAGAGTTGAGTATGCATAGTAATGAGATAAACTCCCAGGCCCTATAACTTGAATCAGCCCTGTAATCCAGAACCTGGCCAACTTTATATATTCAAAAAAAAAAAAAAATTGAATCACGAGCATACCGGTTTTTATCACACAATTCTTGGGTTTTTGGAATGATTGGTGGTTTGGATTTCACACACCTACACCGTTGGGACCATCATGCTTTTCCCTACATTTTAGTCGGTTGGAGAGGGATTTTACTTTTGAAAATATTGTTTAACAGGTGAATCTTGATTTCGTTGTTAAGAAAGAAAAGACCTTGTGTAGTCATTTGTTTTGGGTGTGAATGATTTTTGAACCAGGTGTTACATGTGACTATTTTGTTTTCGTGGGTTTAATACACTGTTGCTTGGGGGCAAGCAACGCTCAAGTGTGGGGAGATTTGATAGGCTCGTTCCGTTCCTGTCTTTTCACCCATATTTTGGGTGTTAATTGTCTATTTTTTATAATTAATCGGATGACTATTGGGAGTTTTGAATGAAAGTTTGTAATTTTTTGGTCCCGGTGCCATTCATTTTCAGTTTAGTATTTGTCTGCACAATTTGACATTTTTGGAGTAATTTGATTGTAAAATTGCATACTTTTAGCGGGTGCGGTGAGTTGTGATTGTACAGGCCGAATTTGCGGTGAATCTAAGAAAAACAATTTGGCATCTCAGCCCAACAAAAAGAAAACAAAAGTGAAGCAGTTTGCATATTTCACTAGCAACCCAAAAACCAAAGAGGAGGGCTGGGTTTTTTATTTTCCTCCAGAAAATTAGCAGCGGCACCAACATATTTTCCTGCCAGGAAGAATCAGCCGCAGGACCAAGAAGGAACGGACCTTTTCACTAGCAGCAATTTCCTTTTTTCTTTTCTCGTAGAGTAAGCACCCGCATTTTTATTTCTTCCCTGGAGAATCAACCGTAGCGGCAGCGATTTTTCCTTCTCTTCATTCAGCCGCAGCAGCAACTAGATGATAGCAACAGATTTTTCATTCTCTTGTCTCGGAATAGCCGTAGCAGCAACAACCAGAGGACAACCAAGGCTTCAAAACTTCATTTTTATTCAATTTCTTCCAATCTAATTTAGATTTTCAGCAAGTATTGTAAGTTTACTCGTCATTTTCAGCACTAGTTCTTAATTTTGGATTGAATTTCGAATTTGTTTGTCTCCGATAGTTAACCTCAGTTTTTTCTTCTTCTAGCTCCTTATCATTCTTATCAATATTATTCATGTTAATTTTAATTATGAGTAGCTAATTCCATATAGGGTTTGAATTGGGGCTAGGGTTTATGGGTTCGTGAAGGTGTGAATTTAGTTTTTGAAATTCAATTAATTTTCTGGAAAATTGTATAAGATTACTCTTATTTGTCTATATGAATTTGATCACCTCATATATGAATATTTGGATTTAATTCAATTCTTGTCTATGAGAAATTGAGTTAAATTGGCTCAGATTTTATACAAGCAATCTGAT